CTGCCTAGCAGTTGAGCTTGGGGGACCAGAACTTTCCTTCAAAGTCATTACTTGGTTGCAGAGCAGTGATTGCTTATTGAACTGTCTGTTTACCGAAAATGTGTTATGCTCTATTGCAGTTAATATGCGATTGAAGTTTTCAAATAGCAGAATTTATTCTTCTGATCAGATAGTGTTACGTTAAAGCTAGTTGACAGCTGTTCTCTGAAACTGCGCTATAGTTTGCGGAGAGTTGAGTCTTTTAACTAAAAATAAACTTTGTAGGATGTAAAAGAATTTTAAGAATCGACACGGGAGCAGTAAATTTTGGCTACTGAGAACTGAATTTTCTATGCCAATAGTTAATCCTGTTTGCTTGTAATGTTTTTACAGTATAACCGAATCATTTTAGAGAGACTTAGTAGCCATGTTAGGCCAATCAAGTGTCTTTTCTGTGAGTAAAGCTAGCAAGTTTGAAGGCTTGTTATATACAAACATTTTATAGAAATGAAAGAATTAGGCTAGTAACTGCTTTTCAGATTAAGCATACTTTTCCCCCCTCCACCTATTAAGACCTAAATCAAATCTACCTTCAGTGATGTTGATGTGTTGTGTATTTACGAAATCCAGCAAAAATCAACTCAAAGTGGGGAATTTTTCCCTTTGTATATCCTAATAGGGATAGTTTTATTTCCTAGCGAGTGAAAGGAACACAGCAATACTCAGGGTATTACTGAAGAAAAGGGCAGCAGCCAGAAGTAACAGCAGGAATAAAATCATTACAAATAAGAAGACCATATAATGTGAGACCGTTGTTTTCTGTGGTGGGGGGTGTGTGTGTATTTATTTTTTAATCTTAACTCATTTGAAAGAAATATAATCTCTCATGTTTCATAAAGAGGGGGGTTATTGCAGATTCATTTCCTAAGGAGAGGGATTTGGTGGTGGCTTAGCAGGCAACAGAATAATATAGTCGTGACTGGTGGAAAAATACATAACAGGAATAAAATAGAGTACAGGAAAAGAAATTGTAATAAAACTGAAAGGAAACGTATTTTTATTATGTATTCTTTTAACTTTGACCCTTCTTTTCAGCTGAATTAATTCAAAAAATACAGTGGTTTTGTAAAGCTTCCAATAAGTATTCGTAAAGAAGAGACATTTTTTTTTCTTTCACGTGTATGCATGCACATAGAGTAAGTAGTACTGCAACAAAACAAATGTATTATCTTTTCTGATGGAGCAAAGCAGCTATATTTCTTCCAAGAGTAATATTGTCTGAAATTATTTAACGCTATCTTTCCCCAATCTAATTCCCAACTACAGCATGATACATTGCTAGTTTTGCTGAGTTCTTTTAATGAGTTTTGCGAATTCTTCTTATATTTACCTATAAAATATGATGGCAATAATGAGAAGTTTCTTAAACTAACTCATCCCTAAATTTATCATAAACTCTTCTGAATATGTTCCGCATGGATTAGTAGCTGTGCAACCATTATGCTGTTATGCCTTTTGTGCTTCAGTGTATTCCTCAATGCATGTCAGTGTAGCGAAGGGGCAGAATCGTGAGGTTATGCTTCCCATGACACCCAGCAGAAGCAAGAGAATTAGTGATTCACTGTTCACTGAGTGAACTTGCTGTGAATGCTATTAAGGCGTACAGTTGCTGTGCTGGCTCTGGCAGTAGAAGTTTGCGTTTTCCAGCAAGTTTGTGGTAAGGTTTTTGGCACGCTTTCCTTACAGGGTTTCGCTAAAGAGCAAGGGTCAGTGGCAGTAGACTGTCAAAGCAGGAAGGGTATTTTGTCAGGAGGAATCGTTCCTGATTCATCTTACCTATTTTGTATTTTAAGAGGAAATAATGTAGCAGGAAAAGGAAATGTGAAAATAGTCACATTCATTTATTTTTAGCATACTTGGTGAAATCTACTCTTCCTACTTAAAGCTCAACTTTTTCATTTGTATAGACAAAGATCAAAAGAGTAACATATGCAAAATCTGCCCTTCCAGTCTCTGTGACTGCTATAACACTCTGTGAAAAAGGAAACTGTAGTATTTCTATGCCTTGGGACTGGGTACTGTGGTGGTCTCTGGAATCCTTTGGCCCATCTCCACCCTGCCATTCCATGATTCAATGGTGAGGCATGTGACATGCAGGAAGTGCACCATTCATTAGCAGTGCTGGCACTTGTATACCTGGCTACCTTTTTTTCTTTGTTTTTCCAAGGTCAGCTGGAAGAGACTAAGTTTAAAATATAGGATTTATACAATAATTTTAGCAGATTGAAAAATGTTAATTTACAGGTAGTTCCGTAGCCAGCAGAATCTGAAGGCATGACTTTGATTTGTGTCTCATTTTTCCTTTGTACCTTGCCTAATACAGCTTGATCAAATGCTGCAGCTTTTCCCTGAGTGGGGAAATTATACTAATTTCTCTTCTCTTCCAAGTTGTCTATTTTCATGATATTTATGGGAAATTAATGTTTTTACTTAAACTATCAGTTTGTGAAATTGGCAAAAACATTAAATATTTTGGGAAAGATTGGGAGACAGTAAGCAAAATGGTTGCACACTCCTTTTCTCTTTAGGAGGGGTTAAAAGTTAGAGTGGGGAAAGAACAGGGTTGTTTAAAACATGATCACATAAGCTTTTACAGATTCAGATGTTTTTGTTTTAAGAGTTGCTGCTGTAGCTGTTTGTTACTGATCCTCAACTGGATTTATTGCTGAGGATGATTTTGGAAAAACCCAATAACTTTGTATTGAAGTGGAATCAAAACTATCAAGATACCTTGTGTAGCTTCTCAATTATGTCGGAAATAACTTCAAAATAAGGGACAACAGCAAGTCAAGGCTGGCTGTACCTCAAGTCACCACAGCTTCATAATGATTACATGACTATCTCCTTAATTTTTGATTATCTTCCTCAGTGATTTAAGAAGTAGAACCAGATTGCTTTCGTTGGGATCTATCCTCAATTGTTAGTCCCTCACAGGAACATATGTACATTCTTCTTTTTGAAAAGCTAGATCTAAAGTCCAGAGTGTTAAATATTTTGAATGAGTGTTATCAAGCTAGTTGTCCCATGCATTCATAATGCATACGGTATATCAGAATTTACATACAGTTCCTAACTTAAAAATATAAAAAACAATCACTTTTTTCCAGGTATTTCTTACTAATTCAGGTGAGTACATATTCTCTCTCTCTGAAAAGTTCCTTGTTATTCTCTTACTCACTTTGAAAATTCTGATCTTTCTTTATGCTTAGTTTTATTCCTTGCCTGATACCCATCCACCTTGCTGTCTCCTGCATGTGTTTAATCAAAACAAAATTATGAAACTGGTGAACTTTATTCAGTTTTTATATGGTGTTTATTGAAGTTGAACTATGACTTACTTTGAAAATTTCTTGCCTTTGAGTTACCTGGGGCAAGAGCACAGAATTGCCTGTTCTCTATGTTTTCTCCCTTTTTTTGTACTTTTGCCAACTCTGTCCCTGAAATTTACAGTCTGTTAACCTTTAGAAACAG